TCTACTTCTCTTCATATGAGTGTAGGAGGTATTCCCTTATTTATCACACTATGCTCTCGGTCATCCTTGCATTCTCTCTATGAGATTTCTGGATAGTGTTCCTGAAAATACAACTCTTAACAGTATCTAACCAGAACTATTAAAATCTAAGCAACTTCATCATGCTTTGATTGTTTTTCTCTTGCAATATTAAAAAAATTGTGGAAAAATTAAATTACACTTTATAAGACAGAATTTTTAATTAATATTATATCAACAAATATTATACAACATAATGCCAACAAAAACAGATTTGGAAAGTGAAAATAATATCTTATAGGGGCAATGAATATTGAAAAGAAATTTATCTGAACCAAATCACTTGTATTAAATCAAAACAATTTTCATATTTTACGTAAATATAAAAACATGCCAAAATCTTTCAAAATACTGGAACATTTTTATGTAAATATTCTACTCTTGATTTATTCATATGTAAAAGATACCTATTCTGGTACATGATTCCAAAATTTCATAATTTCCTTTTTAATATACATGAGAAATAAACATTAATTATATTTTGGATGAAAGCCAAAAGTGCTATTAATAAAGTAAGGGTTATTATCAGACAAAGCCAGTTACACAGTTCAAATTATTAGAAACAAGAAGCAAAATAGTTTCTGCTGTATCTTAGTTCATAATAGGGTTAAATAGTAGCCTGATATTCTGTCTCACTTTAAAGTTTTTGTTTAGTTTCTATGTGCTTATTTTAAAAATAATAATTGATAATTTTTTTATACCAATCATTGTTTTCATAATGATATGTCTTCTTAAAACTGTAGTTGGAACTTTTCTGTAATTGTCTGGGTGCCATTTATCTCAATCATCAATAGGCAATCTAAGATTTTCATTCACATTCTTTGCAAGCCTTAGAGTGAATATTGTATTTGCCCTTAGTTTACTTTTTAATAGATTGAACTGTTGTTTGACATAAAAAAATCATTATTCTTTTTCACCTTAATGAAAGGTTTCTTTGTAGGAATTTGTAGGGGCCTTAGATAAGAAATCATCTGAACAAGAGACCTTCCACAGTAATACAGAAATGCATATAAAAGATAAAGGACAAGCCCAGGGCAGAACCCAGGGTAAACACATCACTTTGAGTCACCAGATGATAAGTCAGTTCCCATTCTACATATTTCAACAAACTTAATAAAATTAATAGTGACAAATAATGTGTCAATAAAGGTAACAAAAGAGCTTTTAACATTGAAGACTGATGAATGAAGACCATTATACAACAAATAATAATATTTGGTTGTTAGGAATGAAAACAGATTTGTTCATCCTCATCATCATAATTAGGTGGGTCGGGGCAGGTTCTATAGCTCCTGTACTTCAGTCTCCACAACATCCTATCATGGACATCTTCCTGAATTAGGAAGATTCTTGATATTCCTCCATGAATCAGGATCCTGTCTGTCATTACTCTTTCAATTCCCTGAATCCAAATTGCCTGCGAACTTCTCTCTTTTTCGGTCTGACTGGTAAAGAAAAATATTTTTCAATATCCTTTCCTTCCCCAAAATTTACATATATGTCTATACCACGTTAACTGTTTGCCTTCAATATAGTGAAAAATAGTCTATCTTGGCAGTTCTCTTTCTTCTACCTTCAATGGTGATATGTTCAAGTCTGCATATCATGGAGGCTCTTCTTAAGAAGTTTAGTTAGGCCCACTTACTCTGTATTTGATTAGTTCACTGAAAATATTTCCCACTCCTGCTTACTTTCTTTTTTTTCCTTGAATGTGCAGCTTTCTTCACCTCCTTTGGAGAAATAGGTTCTTTGTTGCTCACCTGATAATTTAGTAGATGTATGAAGTGGTCTTTCCATTTACTATGATTACTAAGCAGAATATTTATTCTTACATTTTTATCAGATTTGTAGCAATAAAAAAAATCACCATGTTATTTTATTAGCTAAGTTTTAGGAGACATTTCACACTGATAATATTAACTAAATAATTAATTACAGTGTTTCTATGAAAGAAACACACATCACCATTCTTTTCTTTTATTAGGAATGCAAAAAATGACAGTATACTGAGAAAAATGAACAAAAAAGGATAGGTTTGACAATGAGAGATACTACAGAACTGTATAGACTTATGTAGATATGAATATTGCATAAGTACTTTAGTTAGATGAAGCATAACATGTTATGAAATTGTAATTAAGTTAAACATATTCTATTTATAATTGTAACTATTATGTTTGTCTATACAATTGTACAATGACATGGGTCACTGATGACCTAGCTGTTATAAAGCGACCTTAAATAATTTTTTTTTTTAATTAGAGAAAAATTAGCAAGTTTAACAGTGAAATTATAGGAAGAGTCCATGACAGTCAGGAATATTCAAGACTGCTGGAAAGACAGAAATGCTTGGAGACTGAGTGCAGAGAAATGACATCTGTTTCAACCTCTTTATCAGCAGATAATGTTAATTTTTAATGTATATTGGTAGATTCTGTATATTATTTTCTTTTGTATTTCAGAAAACTTGGTTGCCCTGCACTGCACTTTAAATTCTTTGCTTTATTTTTATCTTTGCTGACTTGTTTATCTTTCATTTTTATTAAGATCAACATCTAAAATTACTTCTTACTAGAATGACTCACCAAATAGTCCTAGTTCATTTTTCAAAATTCTGCTGTCATATTTTAAAAATTATGTTTAATTTCATTTTTGATGTCTTGATTAGATTTCAAAATATATTTATTTTTATGTTTCCTATAAAATTTCAATAGCTTCCTTGAAGCAAGTGAAAAATCGTTATTCACTAATTATTTTAGATGTGTTCTAGCCCAAACACTTAGCAGGACTATTATTGTTGAATTAGGTCATAAGTTGTAAAGAATATGTTCCATTTTTGTATTGAATATCTGATGAAATGAGAGTGATACTCAGTTGTAAAAATATTTTGTTCCATGACTGTCAGTAGCAGCCAATGCATGAGGGATTATGGTGGCTAAATTTTCAAAAGCAGATTGTTGTTTCCTTTTAGTATTGATTACAAAATTATGGATAATGTTTTTAATCAAATGAGAGTATTGAATCTAATAGGAAATTAACAGATGTGTTTCAAGCAGTTTGGTGACTGTTTTACCAGGGATGGTTGAAAGTTTAAATTGTAACAAAAACTACAGTAAAGTTTGTTATAACACATAATTTTGATGCTTTTACATTCCTCTACCACGTCTGGTCCTCTATCAAATTAATACAAATGAAAATGGAAGTTGCAGACCTAATAAAAATGTAACTGTAATGTTTGCTGTTTGTTTATATTTATTAGGAGTTGGAACAAAGCAGTTTTAGGAAGGGAAGGTCGATAGCAGACAATGTTTATACTACAAATATTAAAAAAGAGGAAGGAACACAACTTACAGACTCAAATTGTCTTCATAGACTATGAAAAACATTTTATAGTGTACAATGAGAAACTTTACAGACAAAATTAGAAAATCAAGGCTACCACAGATATCTGAGGAAGGTTGTGAAGTTTACAAGCAGAAACAAAAATTGTGATAAATTATGGATCACTAAAGTCAGAAGAAATCTTAACAACAACAACAACAACAACAACAACAACAACAACAAAAAAAAAAGAGTTAGGCAAGCCTTTCAATGTTGTCAACTCTTTTTAATGTGTATGTTAAAGTAGGGGTGAATCCAGAGAAATTTTGGGAGGGAAAATTCAAAATGGTTTGGTCAAATGTGTCATATTATAGATTTTGTATAATGCTGCAGGCTGCACTCAGCTCACGCTGCAATACAATTTTATTTGTTTTAATGATTACATGAAAATATTTTTGCTTGAAAGTTTCATGACAAGTTAAAATTAATAGTTACTGAAAAATTTTAGAAGGAGAAATATCCTTCATTCTCCTCTGTCTTCCGTGGCTTTTTAAAAACATCAACTAAAAATGGAAACAAAATACTAACATAGCTATAAAATTAAACAAAGAAATCATTTTAATATTTTATTATTTGCAGATGATGCTATAACAATACAATAGACAGAAGATGACTTATAATGCTCTATACCCCACCCCCATCAGATGTGTAAAAAAATATGATTTTCAGATATCAAGAAAGAAAACAAAAGTCATGGCATTTGAGGGGAAAACACCAGCTAGGTCCCAAGATAATCATTGATAACAACATTTTAGAACAAGTCTCATCCTTTATGTAATGGGATATATAATAAGAGACCAAAAAGATAGTCACAGAAAACAAACTTTTGAAGTTTCAAACAATATATGGAACATTCACAACATCCTAGAAAATAAAGACCCGAATCTTGAATAAAATTATACAAAACTATGGCACTTCTCACGCTACCCTATGGTTGTGAAACACGTGTACCTATAAAGAGAATGAGGAAAAGATGCAGCCAAGTAAAATGAGATTTTTGTGTAAAACTAAAGGGTGCTCATGAGAGAAAAGGTTTAGAAATGAAAACATAAGAAAAGAATTTATACAACCAATAAATACAAAGATGCAAGAATGTAGAGGAAATGTTTACATTTTGGAATAGAAAGATATTAATTTCAAAATCAGCTTTCTACCACATTCCAAAAGAGACTTGGGAAGAAGATGGAAGGAGACTGTGAAGACGGAAATCAGTCTGGTCATCATAAATATCAAAATGTATTACCTATTGATATTTTACAACGTGAGTTCTTCACTTGCATTTTAAAATAGTGTACACTATATTCTATTTATTTATAATTTCCTTAGATAATATTCATAAGAAAAATAATGATGTAATACCATGGATGAATACGTAGGTTAACTCCAAGATGGTAATACAATGGATGGTGTTAACCTTTGTTAATATCATAGATTATCATTCATCCATGGTAACACCCGGAAATGCCATTGAAATGGAGAGCGGAGAGTGTTTGAGTGTTTGCAGTTTACTTACACACAGAGAGTATATTACACAAGAGCTGTGTGCATTTACACAAGGTTGGCAAGTCTGCGTTGATGTTCCGCTTCCTCTGTCGTTGGTTGGCAATGCGCTCACTTCAAATCTCAATTTGCTTGCTTGGGCCGTTCATGAATTATACCTGAGCGTCTTACTGCTACTCCTCTTAAATGCTGATCCTGTGAATACATACCAGGAAACTTACTTGCAACTTCTCCAGTTCCAGCATGAGTGGGCGAAAATTGGTCTGGATTCTAGGAGACAAAAACTTAACACCGGAACTTTTTTTGGCGAGTATTTTGTGGTGTGTGCACTCTATACATTATTTGTTGGAGTGACAATTGACTTTTAAATATAGGTTGTATGAAAAAAATGGGTGGAATGAAACTTTTTCTGCCTTTTTATTCTGTAAAACTCTCTAATGTAATTGAAAAGGTCTTTGGAGTTTGATATAAAAATTAAGTTACATTCTTAATTTTACAGAAGTATTGATCTTCCAATGTCTGGATGGATGGATTTTGAAGTGTCAACTGCATACATATTTGTTATATTGATCATGTTTTTATTACTTGCAAGTTGTGATACAATTTTATTGAAGTAAAAGTAAACTAGCTACTTGTTTCCTTGAGAATGAGGTTATCACTTACCTTCATTTTTAGAAATATATAAAATATTTTTAATCTACAATAATTTTAAATATTTGTTTTCAAATTAGTGAAGAAAGTACCAGTTTTTATACTTGAAAGACAAGAACATTTATGGGAAAATGGATGATTTAATGCAGAGTCCTAGTTCAAGCTGGCAGATAAAATGTCTTGAGCCTGGCAATTTGAGGTAATTTATTTTTTATGTTGTTACTTTTTGTACTTCAACTACAATGTTTTGCAGACATTTTATATTTTAACCCTCAACTGTAATAAAAGAATGTTAGGATTTAATAACTTCTGGGTTTCTGTTAGTTTTATTGAATTCCAGTAGTAATATTAAATAAATAAAATTATTGAAGATCAAATTACAAATAAAGAAAATGCTAACATAAATCAATTCTATTAATTTTCTATAACATATTTAGAGAACATTGAGAAAAGGGACATTTTTAATTTATATAATAATGTTTGTTATAATTGCAAATTACGATACTTGTAAACTGAATTTTTTAAACTTATCCAACACATATAAAGAAAGGCATTCCTAAAAATGTTGGTTGATAAAAATATTTGCATTAAACATCAAAGAAATCAAAAATACCGTTGATCAAGCTGAAATAGAAAACAAATTCATAAACGGGGAAAAAAGAGCAGGTCTACATATTCTTGAAGTAAAATGCTCTTTCACGGCAAAGTTTATCAATTTTAAATTAATTGGTCTAAGACGAAAATCAAGACCTCAATCAATTAAAACTTTTTCCCATAAATTATATTAATTACATTTTTTTCTGAAGACAAATGATAAAATAAAAATATAACAATTTCCATATAATCCATTTTCCCTCTTTTACATCCCTTTTAATATTATTTATTCTCTTTTGTATTTTTTCAATATCAGCTTAAGTTCATCCGATGCTTCAGGAACAGCTTCTTCAACAAAAGTCAAAACCTCCTCTCCCAGAAAGACTCCTAAGAAAACTCCAGGAAAATCTCCCAAAACATCTTCAGGTAAGAGAGTTTTTCCATACTTCAAATATGTAAATGAAGACTTTTCTTGTGGAAAGTCATATTAGGGAGTTGCCTCTAGAATGTGTTAATCTCCAGAATGTCTCTCCAATCTTTTTGAACTATGAGCCAAATTTTTTAAGTAGATCTAAAAATTATCAACCAAAATTCAGTGTAGTAATTTCCAGGTTTTGCAACAGGCATTTATGTATGAAAAATTACTAAAATTATGGATTTATGTGCTGTGACTGTCCAAGTTGCTTTGCAGGCTTAATGTGGTCCATGGCTTGTAGATTGAAAAGTCCTGCTCTAGAAAATGTCAAAATTGTAATCCTTCAAAAACTCTCAAGAAAAATATAATTAAATGCCATTGAAATTAATTTTTAATTATGTAGTTTCATTTGAAAGTGTTGTGATGGTCTTTTGTTTGAACTTTGCTAGTAAGAGATTGATCTAATGGGGTCTTCTACATCTAAATAATGATTATGAAATGTGTAAAAAAGTTTAGAATTAAGATAAAACCACTCTTCCCCCTCTCCTAATGACACCAGTTATTGCCATCTGCTCACCTCCCATTAATCTTTATGCCACATTGTGATTTTTTAATGTTAACAAATAACAATTTTTATTAGAAAGAATTGCCTTTGCAATAAAAAGTATTATATACTATGCATAAGAATGGAAAGTATTGTTAAGAAATGTTGAATTTCACTTTTTTTAAATAAAATTTTACAGGATTAAAACTTGGTGCAGCATCCCCCAGCTCCAGTGACAGATTTATTCCTAGCAGAAGTGCTATAGACTTTGATTTGAATCAATTTAAGGTAGTTATCTCAATATTTCTTACAAATAAATAGTAAAATTGGTGCAAATGTGAAATTAATGCTATCTGTGAAGAATTGTCATTAAAAATTAATATACAGCAGTTCATTTAGTTTATTCAACAGCATTTTTTACCGTTAAATATTTGACCTGAGGAAAAAAATAGACACTGCTGGAATATCATAACTTAAAGTGTAGAAAGCCCAGATTACTTGAACTATAATAATGATATTTTTTATGAATTGTCATGTGAGTCTTCAGAATTGGTTAATAACCCCGTACAACATTAATTTTATTAATATATAAGCATTTTTGAAGGGTAAAATATATGTGCACAACAACTGTTCTGTTCAGTTACTTAATGTTGAAGAGAAAGAAAATATGTACAAACCAATACAGAAAATATCAGGTATATTGCTATTGCCTGTGATTATAATTAAATACTATATACTTTTTAAGTTTTAATTGACATATTGGAAAACTTGGAGAGAAGTAGCAAACTGTAAAAATATAAAACTTGGTAAATTGTAGGCATAAATGTTTTATAAGAAAATTCCTAATGAAATAATGAATTTTGTTGCTATAGATGGTACAACAGCAGCAATTACAAAATCATGAAGACGAAATAAACATTACACAGAGAGAAAAACAGAATATTATGACTCAGAACCTTTCTGGAGAAGACATCAGCCATAAGCGGATTTTGGTATTTCAAAATAAGTCTCCTTCACCATTAGAGGTTTGTTGTCAACATTTTTCATCCCAATAATGCAATGACTTACTTGATTCTGATTTTTAGTTTGTTTAAATCATTTAGTTGGTATTTAATATCCATACCCACAGGAATTGTTGTATTTAAAATTTTGGGGATGATGAAATTGAGTAGAAAATTGTTAATAGAATGGGTAGTAGTGACAGAGGAACTGAAAATAGAAAATTTATTGAATTTTATAATGTCTTTGGACTTTTAATTAAATATGTATTGAATAATTTGCGAAGTTATGTCATACATAATTTTGTTTCGACTTCAAATATATTTTGTTACAGTGTCATCAGAATTCTCTGAAAGTACCATTCAGTCATTTGAAGAACTTGCCCCTTTGTAAACGGCCAAGTCGCCTCATTCCTCAGACACCAGATCGTATTTTGGATGCTCCTGATTTAATGGATGATTACTGTAAGCCAATGATGTTCTGTCTTTTCAAATATAGTAGAAGAATTTATTTTATATAACCCTTGGTATGAGTATGAAACAGTTTTGGATGCTTCAATTTATCTTTGAGAGCCATGAAAAAAATATGTTCTCCAAATGTATTATTTCAGCTTACTGAAGTCTCCTTTTACAAGTTTTGTAAACACTGATAACACTTGCAAACTATTCTTTTGAAATGAGGGGCCCCTTGGGCCTTCCTCCTCTTCATTGCTGCAATACTAATTTGCAATATTAATGTAAATTTTGTAAATATTTACATCCATCTCTTTAATAAGTTAAATAATTTTGGAATACCTCAGAACATAAAAAAAAAACTTTCCTAGACTTAACTTACTGTATTTAGTAATAATATAAAGACCTATTTCTTGGAATATATTTTGGAAAAAAAACATATTTGGTAAAGCAGAACATAAATAATAATAACAACAAATATTCAATTTCCAATGCTTTCATTAAATTCTTTCAATTCGTACATGAAAAAGAAATTTAATTACGGTTTGAATTTGGGATGGAAATGAATATTAGACTGATATCTTAATTTTCTTATGTCAGAACTCAATTTGACCTGTATTATAGTAGGCTTCATGACTTGCATTGCTTCGTAGTACCTTGAATCACTATCAATTTTTATTGGCAACATACAATCTTGTTCTGGAAAAAAGGCATATTGAAATGTGAAGTATTGCCATTCAGATGCTTTGTGTAGCCACACAAAGAGCTTCCTCTGTTTCTATAGTTCTGGAGGACAATATTTAAAGCATAGAACATATATCCAGCTTATTCAATTGCTGACAGAGAACTATTGGAATTATTTTCTTGCCTCTTTATGTTGTGCAGATCTCAACCTTGTTGACTGGAACTCAAATAACATTCTTGCAGTTGCTTTGAGTGAAAAAGTTTATCTCTGGTATGCAGATACAGGAGAAGTGAAACAACTTCTTTCCTTAGAAGGAAATGCTTATGTTTGCTCTCTGGCTTGGACCCCTGATGGTGTATATTTGGCTGTAGGTACAAGTACGACTGTCGTTCAGGTATATTTTACAAGTTTGTCATATAATTACGATTAATTTTGATAGACCTATTGTCCATCAGTAATAGTCATAATAATCATAATGAAACATGACTCATAATAATGTTAAATAATTTGAACAGATATATTTCCAAAAAGATAATTACTGCCATTGTTGAATCAAGTTTTAAGGTAATATTTTCACATCTCATACTGTTTGAATTGCTAACTCTAAGTATCATTCACCATCATGAGCACACAAGTGGTTAGGCATCCAAAGTGATAAGGCCTTTTTCTTTTATTCTTGCAGTAGACTATACTAATTGGTTTAGTCTATCAACATTTCCTGCTTCCTCTGCTTCATTTTAGGCATTCCTATGTATCCTCTTCCTCCGGATCTGTGGTGTATAATTATTGAAGGGGATTTTTTTTGCTTTCTCTTGATGCATGACATCCATCTGATTTGACCATTTTCTATTTGCTTTGTAACATTTTTAGTGTTAGCACATGTAATTTCTAGTGTTTTTACTTCTCTCTCTGTTATTCCTAGCAAATATCTCAAAAATATTATGTCACCATTTCTCTTTGTTAAACTCTCTTTCTTACTGTTTGTTCTTCTGATCTATACATTATGGTTGTTATTGTCTTTTATTGACCCATTGTTTTGTTGAATTTATTTTATCAGTCTTTCTGTTCTTGTCCAATTACTTGTCCTTAGTAGTTAAACTCTTTTATTTCTTCTATGATTGTTCCATGTTTTATTATCTTTACTCTTCATAATTCATTTTCTTGGAGTCTGATATTTTACTTTTTTCTTCATTGAAATTTTCATTTTATTTTTCCTTGTTATTTTGTGCTTAGTGTGAGTTTTATTGAAAATTTTCCTGTAGAATGATGAGATAAAATTCATTTCTTCAAAGTTGATCAACAAACTTTCATTATGTTTCCATTTGAGTATTGTAAGGCTTTCTCATATCCTAGCCCACACTGGTGTTTAACAGTTAGTCCATGAATTGAACTTTGTCAATTTCCTTAGGCACTAACAATACTTGAACAAGAAAAATTCACCGTTTTCCGGTGCATGATTACAATACTTTCTCTTCTTATGTTAGGAAGTGAGAGAAAGTTAAAATCAGTG